TGGGCTCAGTGTTCAGGGTATAATGCAGTGCCAGGGATTTGGGAATTGAACCCTGGCACCCACATGCACAGCGTGCACCCCGTCCATTGAGTGATCTCTAGCCCCTGGTTGTGTTCTTCAGATTTTCTCTTGCTGTGAAAAAAATCCACTATCTAAGGTGAAAGACCTGGAATGTACACAAAATCCGCTTTTTTGTTTCCATGTCTTATCTTTTGTGATCACATTGTTGCCTCCCCATCTGTTTTAGTTTTGTTATGCTGTCTTCACCTTTGTGTGTATATTTTTCTGGGAGAAAGTTTTGTGGTATCTGATACTTTATTAACTGATGTTCTATAGTAATTTATCTCAAGAACAACACTAAATAGAGCACACGAGTTAAAGGTTTTTGTGCTATCATTGTGAATGTCCTATAGTTTTAAAAATCTATTTAGTGAACATTTTTCATTGGAGCCATTTATTGTTAAGAAATGTGGTGGTAAATGATACATATTCTCCAGCTCTGTCATTCTGGTTAATTCTCTCCTGACTCAGATCATGTATTAGCATTTTTACCATATGGCTGAAAGGGTAGAGAATATATGTGTAGAGGAACAAGTCGGTAACATTTTTGACCATCTGGTAAATAAATGTGTAAGTAGCAAGAATTTTAATATTGTTTATTTAGTTATACAGATGTAACCTTTAACCTGAAATAGCCTCTACTACAACTGAATTTTTTCTCAAATCATCACAGTTTAATTCATTAAACATTTCACATTGCCTTTAAAATAGGACCTCTAATTATGTTCTTATGTTTATTGAAAATTAAATGTTTTACTTTTAGACACTGTGGTGTGGTTTATAATATTGTTAGTGATAGGGTTTTATGCATAATGACAGGGTTTCATGTGGTTACATACCAGCACCACATTCCCAACCAGAGTGTCCACTTCCTTCCACATTGTCCAAATGTTCTTCTACTCTGACCTATGCCCCTCCCCCCATGTCTTCCCCTCCCTCCTGCACCATGTGAGCTTTCTACTGGAGACCATTTCTCAGTTTCTATAGCTTTTGGGCAGTTTTTTTCTTGATATCTCACCTCTGATAGAGATAATTTTATGTCTGTCCCTCTCCTGAGTATCTTCACTCAGCATGATACCCTCCAGACCCATCCATGTAGCAGGAAATTGCATAATTTTATCTTTCCTTACAGCCGAGAGTATTCTATTGTGTACATGTACCATAACTTCTTTATCCAGTCATCTGTTCTTAGATATGAGTTATTTCCAGATTTTTAGCTCTTGGGATTAGTGCTGCAATGAGCAAAGAAGTGTAAATATCTTTTCTGAATAGAGATTTTTGTGTCCTAGGGATAGATGTCTAAGGTAGAATTGCTGGGAAGTACAATCCTAGTTTTGTTTTTGGTTTTGGTTTTGATCTTTGGGCCACACTCAGTGGTGCTCAGGGCTTACTCCTGACTCTGTGCTCAAGGGTCATTTCTGGTAGCATTGGGTAACAACATGTGGTGCTAGATGTTGAATCAGAATTGGTAATGTGCAAGGCAAATGCCTTACCTGCTGCTATATTGCTCTGACCTCACAATTCACACTTTTTTGAGAAATGTATATGTTACTTTCTAAAAGGGATGGACCAGTTGATATTCCCATCAGTGGTGGTAAAGGTAAAGGTAAAGGCCCTCCCGTTGATCGTCGATTTGCTCGAGCGGGCCCAGTAACATCTCCATTGGAGACTTTGTTGTTACTGTGTTTGGCATATCGAATACTCTCGGTAGCTTGCCGGGCTCTCCGAGAGGGGCGGAGGAATCGAACTCGGGTCGGCCATGTTGGCCGCTTGTAAGGCGAACGCCCTACCCACTGTGCTATCGCTCCAGCCCATCAGTGGTGAATAAGAGTATTTATTGACCTTTGAAGACTCTATAATATGCTTCATTTAGGAGCCAGACGGTGCTAATCTTGCATGTCACTGACTCTGGTTTGATCCCTGACACCACATGGTCCTCTGATCAACACCACTGGTTACTCCTGAGAACAGAACCAAGAATAGTCTCGAGGTACTATTAAATGTGCTCCCGTCCCACCAAAAAAGGTAAAAATAAAATAAAGTACCTAATTTAAAATGTCTTTTCTGAATGGCCACATGATTAGACCCAGATACAGATTTGAGGACTGAAGTTCTGCTTTGCCACTGACCATGGTGTGGCCTCAGAGAAATTAATTGGACACTCTGGGCCTCACATTCTTTGTCTGAAGAATGACTGATTTATTGTCAGCAGCATCTCTCAAAGTCGCATGGTTGCAGTAGTGGCTGCGCGATTTTGAAATTCTGAAATTTCAATTCCAAATTGAATCTGGAGGGATTTCTTCACAAAACCTCCTGGGTTCCGAGATTTGTTCCTGAGTCTCTGGGATCATAACCATTAAACAGCTTGATCAGGAGCCAGAGAGGCCATTCGTGGGCAGTGACTCGTGGTCTCTTTGGGGTGGGGAGGAGAGGGCTGGCTCCATCCCCATTCCATGAGGCCCCACATGTCTCCTCACTGCAGACCCAAACCAATGGCTTCTGGCAGTTGGCGGCCACCGAGCTGCCAAGGGGAAGCAGGGGGAGGGACAGCACTCCTTCCCCCCTGAGGTGGCCAGACAACAGTAACCTACTGCACAGTCTGGACACATTTCTGCGAAAAGTCGCTGGGTTTCAAGATTTGTTTCTGAGTCTCTGGAATCATGGCCGTTGAGCAGCTTGATGAGGAGCCAGAGAGGCCATTCGTGGGCGTAAAATCCCAAATAATAATGGTGGGTGTGGTGTCGAAATGTTGAGTGTAATCAAAGTATAGAGAGAGAAATTTGGAAATCATCTGCCCCACAGGTAGGGGGAGGGTGTGAGATGGGGGCATACTGGGGGTTTTGGTGGTGGATAGTGGGCACTGGTGAAGGTATGGGTGTTTCATTGTATGACTGAGACTTAAACCCGAAGCTTTGTAACTGCTCTCATGGTGATTCAATAAATAAAATTATTTTAAAAATGGGGAAAAAAGTAAGGTGGAGTTCATGCACAATTCAATCAGCCTAATCAGTGGCTGAATAAATAGCAGTACTCCTACATAAAAAAAGAAAAAGAAAAAAAAAACAGGTGACCAGCAAGATGACCCTACTGTGCCTGGAACTCATGTACATATCAATGTAACCCAAGAAGTCCATCATATTGATTAGGAAGCAGAAATATGACCTAGGCAAGCCAAGGTGATTAGAATATCTAAGTGTGAGTACTGCAAAGGATAGAAATTTGCAACATATACCCCCCAGAGATTTGTTGTCTGTCTTTTTGAGTCTTTGTGGGAATAATTTGCATTGTGTAGAATAGTAGGCAACAAATAATATATATGAAGGAAATATATATATATATATATATTTATATACCTCTCAGAGAACCCAGCAAGCTACTGAGAGTATCCCACCCGCACAGCAGAGCCTGGAAAGCTACCTGTGGCATATTGGATATGCCAAAAACAGTAACAAGAACAGGTCTCATTCCCCTGACCCTGAAAGAGCCTCCAATATGGCAGCGTTGGGAAAGATGAGTAAGGAGAGGCTGCTAAAATCTCACAGCTACTAACGGCCTCTCTGGCTCCTGATCAAGCTGCTCAACGGCCATGATCCCAGAGACTCAGGAGAAAATCTCGAAACCCAGTGGCTTTTGGCAGAAATCCCTCCATATTTAAGTGTTAAAATTTCAGAATTTCAAAATCACATGTCCCTACTGCAGCCACGCGACATCATATGTTATTAATAACCAGCAAAAGTACACAAATTGTCTACTGTTGCCTTTTCAGCAGATCTGAGTGTTGGGGTAAAATCTCAAATGATAATGGTGGGTCTGGTGACAAAATATTGAATGTGATCAAAGTAGAGAGAGAGTAATGTGGAAATCATCTGCCCCACAGGTAGGGGAAGGGTGTGGGATGGGAGTATACTGGGGTTGTTGGTGATGGAGAATGGGCACTGGTGAAGGTACGGGTGTTTCATTGTATGACCGAGACTTAGATCCAAAAGCTTTGTAACTACTCTCCTGGTGATTCAATAAATAAAATTATAAAAAATAAAAAAAGTAAGGTGGAGTTCATGCACAATTCAATCAGCTAATCAGTGGCTGAATAAATAGCAGTTCTTCTACATTAAAAAAGAAAAAAAATAAAATCTCAGGGCTGGGACGAATGGAGGTGTTACTGGCGTCCGCTTGAATAACTTGATGAACAACAGGATGACAGTGATACAGTGATCTCTCAAAGTGTTGGCCATAGAGGGTCAAGGATGTAGCATCAAGCTCATGCGGTGAGTTCATTAAAAATTCCAACTCCTCATCTGCAGAAACAGTGAGTTTGGGAATAGTTGAGGGGTCTACATTTCAAGTTACTGTCTCACGTGATTCTGACTTGCACTGAATTGCTGAGGATGGTGGCATCTATTTCCCTTCAATGCTAGGTTGATAATTATCACATATTAAAATATTGACAATGTATTAATATTAATAAGCACAACTCTAAAATACTTTTTTTTTTTGCTTTTTGGATCACACCCTGCGATGTTCAGAGGTTACTCCTGGCTCTGCACTCAGGAATTACTCCTGCAGTGCTTGGGGAACCATATGGGATGCCAGGGATCCAACCCAGGTCGGCCGTGTACAAAGCAAATGGCTTACCTGTTGTACTATTGCTCCAGCCCCTAAAATACACTTTTTATATTATGGAACTGTAACACTTTGACACACATTTTTTTCACATTTGTTCTTAAGACCTCACCCACCTTTTGCTAAACTTGGCAGTCTCTGTGTTCAGAGATCACTTGTGGCAGTGCTTCGGAGACCTTTGTATTAGCTTTCCTGCCCTTTAAATTTTCTAACTGTGTGGAAAACAGGCTGACAGAATATGTAAGTAATGCTGCCAGTGCCACACACTTCTCAATTCTTGTTTAATTGCTTCTCTTATTTTATTTTGTTTTCTTCCACAGAAACTACAAGGTATCTATGGGGCCACATCTATACCAGCAACTCCGATGACTTGAATGAGTATGGGGTTCTTAGTTTTTCAAGATCCACATATACCGGATCCTTCTGCACAACTGCTGTGTTCAGGCTTTCTCCGGTTTTGTGAAGACTGAGCAGAAGTCTGATGATGGGAAGTCGGAAGACTTGATTTCTTGCCTCAGCAGCACCCAGCATCACCTGAAAAGTGAAGCAGAGAGTAAGCTAGCCATGGCCGAAAATTCAAGTTTATGGAAGAACTTGATAGATGAGCATCCGGTCTGCACTGGATGGAAGCAAGAGGCTGAAGGAGCCATTTATCATCTGGCCAGTATTTTATTTGTAGTAGGTTTCATGGGTGGCAGTGGATTCTACGGGCTCCTTTATGTCTTCAGTTTGCTGGGTTTGGGTTTTCTTTGTTCTGCTGTCTGGGCATGGGTAGATGTCTGTGCAGCCGACATCTTTTCCTGGAATTTTATATTGTTTGTCATCTGCTTCATGAAATTTGTCCATATTGCTTATCAAGTTCGCAGCATAACCTTTGCCCGAGAATTCCAGCTATTATACAGCTCCATTTTCCAACCTCTGGGGACATCTATGCCCATCTTCAGAATCATTGCTTTGAGCTCTGATGTGGTGACTTTGGAAAAGGAGCACTGTTATGCCATGCAGGGGAAAACCTCCATTGATAAACTCTCCTTGCTTGTTTCAGGAAGGTTTGTACTCTTGCTGCTTGCATGTTTTTTCTTCATAGTCTTATTGGTCTAAGTTTCTTCCCACTACATTTTCCCCATCTCTGAGGATCATAGTCCTTGAATGCATTTAGCACTCAAGTCTTGAGAAGGTCTTTGACATATGAGTCATGAACTCATTTAGAGTCCAAGATATCATTTTCTTGAAGCAGGAAATAATCTAAAGCCTTACTTTTTCTTTCTTAGTAATCAAATGTATTGTTTATCTGAACATGCTGTTTGTTTTCAAGCTAATCACTGCAAGTGAAGAAGAGGGTAATCGCAGCTTGTTGCCATACAAAGTAATTAGATTAGACTCTGACATGGCATTCTTTAAATGAAAGGGAACATTTAATTTCATAATGATAAATTTTTCAATAAACTCTAGTAATTACCCAATTACTAAGTTTTGAAAATATGAAGTTTGGAGAGGAAACAATAACATGATCATTCATGTATTTAGAAAAGGTTAACTATTTCATTCACCAAGATATTTACAGTGGTATTGTTTTATGTTCATCAGTGTTCTCCAACTTCATTTAAAATCTAAGTCCAGTGAAACACTTTATTAGACTATAATAGAGTATAAATGTACAGCCTGATGAATTTTCAAATGTTCTTCTGCCCAATATTCCAGCATCTTGTGTAGAAACAGCAGTATATGAATCTTGCCATTTGTCACTTATTGTAATGGATTAATCTAATATTTTGTCCTTCCAATTTTTTTTGAGAGCAAAAAAAGCGATCAGAGATCCAAAACACTGTTCCCTCCCACAGCCCTCCCTGCCTCCCCGTATTATGTTTGCTTTCTTCTTCCTTCCTGCATAAACTTTGTTCTTTGTGTTTGGGTAGGATGCGAGTGACAGTTGATGGAGAATTTCTGCATTACATTTTCCCCTTCCAGTTCCTGGATTCTCCTGAATGGGACTCCCTGAGACCCACCGAGGAAGGCACTTTTCAGGTAACGATAACCAGACCACACAGTGAGCTCCACTTCTTTTAAATAGATAAATGAAGATTGCTTCAAAATAAGAAAATAGGAGCTGGAGGGAGAGCTCAAAGGGTTCGAACAAGTGCTTCACAGGAGGCCTGAGCTCAACCCCAATGTCAATGGGATCAACCCCCAAGCACTGAGTTGTGAATAGCCCACAGCACTGCTGGGACTGAGTGTCAGCCCAAAACCCAAACAAATAAGGTAGTTGATTGAATTATTAAGAACAAACCAACAAAACATAACATGTCGGACCTCCCTGTTCTACTTAACTCTTGCTGATGAATGTCACTTCATCAGGGCAGCAAGATGAAAAATGGGCTATACATATGACAGAAAGGGCTCCATGATAAATACTCTTTCATTTTTATTTCCCTAACCACATATTTGAGAATTAAAATCTAACTCATTGATATTGAACTAGAAACTAAAATGTCTGCTATAACAGTTCTTAAAAACACCAAGAACAAAAATCATATTTAAAAAATTAGTGACTAAAAATCTTTTTATTATTGGAATATCATGATGTTGAGTAGTATTAGTATTAATGTGTTAGGGCATGCAGAATTTTTAGTGGATTCTATACAGTGGGTTTGATATTTTATGATATATTTTTTCTGTGAATTAATACCTATCGTATACATGTGCATTCAAATTCATATACATGTGAAAAATATATAACTAACTCTATTTTTTTTGGCTTTTTGGGTCACACCTGGCAATGCACAGGGGTAAGTCCTGGCTCTGCACTCAGGAATTACCCCTGGCGGTGCTCAGGGGACCATATGGGATGCTGGGAATCGAACCTGGGTTGGTCACATGCAAAGCAAACACCCTACCCCCTGTGCTATTGCTCCAGCCCCTAACTAACTCTATTTTGTACTACAAAAAATTGTGTTAGAGTTCAATGTTTGTACTCTTTAAGACTGAGTTGGAGATATTTGTCTCATTTTAATCCGTTTTATTATTTTTTAATATAAAGTATTTCTCCCTTCAATACAAAATGCAAAATATACCTAAACTTAGAAACTTAGAAAACAGATAAGTTGGAGATGGGGGTAGCACTATGATACTCATGTTGTAAATTACATATATAGTGTTTTGTAGATGGTATATCACTAGGCTTTTTAACATAAAAATTATATGTAAGTGACATTCATAAAAATTGTTGTGTAAAAAATCAGTGGCAGAATTTTCTCACTTCCTAATATTCATTTTTATGTGGTTTTATTTCTTCTAGGTTACCCTCACAGCAGAAACCGATTGTCGATATGTGTCTTGGAGAAGAAAAAAGTTATATTTGCTCTTTGCTCAGTATCGTTACATCTCCCGATTGTTTTCAGTTTTAATTGGCAATGACATTGCAGATAAACTATATGCCTTGAATGACAGGGTATATATAGGGAAAAGATACCATTATGACATTCGGTTACCCAACTTCTATCAAATGTCAAGTTCAGAAATGTCCAAATCACCCGATTGAACATTTTCAGAACTCTAAAGATTACTGTAATAAATGACATCCCAATTTGAAATTTTATAATTATATTTTTTAAAAAGATTTCTTCATTCCCCAAAGGAAAGAGCAAAATACAGAAAACTGAATGTGTTCATATTTTTATAAATCAAACTTAAAGGCACAGTATCATTGTCTGCTGTTTTACTCATCTCAACTTGGTCATTGCATATCAATTTTGCCAACTTTAATTGTATTTCTTATCGGAACAAGTGGAGGGAGGATGTATAACTACAGGCAATTGGCTCTTTTCTGTATCAGAACTGGGAGAATGAAATTTTGCATTCTCTAAAATTTTCTCAGATTTATTCAAATCTGTCATCATGCCCTATGGAGTTCAGAGTTGCTTCTCAAGAAGCAGCCGACGAGTATTCTCAGCACGCCTGGGTCACTACAGTCCACAATGACATTTCCAGAATTCACTTTTTCTACAACCTCTGGTGAAAGCTGTGTTATTGTGATATGCAGCAATTATTTATTTGAAATGTGAAGTTACTTCATATGACTATAAAGTAGAATAAATGTGAGATCATCATATATCAATCTTAAAGGCTTTTATTGTTACCAGTACTTCATCTGCTTTATCTTTGCAGGGACATATTTTCAAGAAGGCATTTAATGGAAAACATAGTTGCATAATTACTAAGTAAAAAAGAATTCCATGAGTAAACATGAAATGTGTTACACCATATTTCAACTTCACAGGTTCAGCAGAAAAGGAAAGAGCGAGTGGTTGGTCTAGACACTGAGGGTTGCAGAGTGAATACTCCCCCCAGCACACATGGGAGTCTTTATGAAGAAGAGAATAAGAATGGGACAGAGCCTCAGCCATAGACCTGAGCCCCGTCTATACAAGACTGCCTTTGAAGGTCATGCGCAGGCCACGTTCTTCAGTAGAAAGATAAATCATCAGACATTCACCAAATGCGTATGAAGCTCCAACGATGGCTCCAGGGGCTGACTTGAGCACTGCAGAGATTTTAAACAATGAAAAAGATATTCAGTTCTCATAATGCTTGCATTCTGGACATGAGGGAAACAGACCATAGACTAAGTCAGATTAATCTAGGATTAGAAAGGTACAGTGGCAGGAGAAAGATAAATCAGGGCTGGTGGGTAGGAAGGGGCTTTGCTGTATTAATAGGGTGGGCGAGAAAAGCCTGAGTGAAAAGGTTATGCGTGAGGAAAGGTGAAAGGAAAAAAGCATGTGGATATCTGGAGTGGGGAGAACAATATCAGCAGAGGCAAAAGCAAATGAGGATGCTTTTAGACATGATGACTGGTCTATTCTGGGAGCTGTGAGAAGACAGTGAGCCTAGAGCAGAAGGAGTGTTAGAAAAGATTGGAAAATTGGGTATAAGGACTTTGACTTTTATTCCGAGGCTGGCCAGAGACTATGGAGGATTGGGAGGCTTTGAAATAGAAAATTGATGTGATCTGCCGTATATTGTAAGGGGATTCTGATAGCTAGCCTCTAGAATAGGTTGGAAAGAAGTGGGAAAGATAAGGGTCCTGGAAGAAAAGATCAGTTATTGTAATCACTAGGCACTGGAATGGATTGCTGGGTAAACCCAGATGAGTTAAAGAGAAAGCTCTGGATTGGGAGAAAGATTTGGGAGTGTTTTCATAGATGCTCTTTAAAACCATGAGGCCAGCAGGTAGAATGTTTGCCTTGCAAAGCAACTGGCCCGATTTTGATCCCCGGCATCCCATATGGTTTCCTGAATGCCAACAGGAGTAACTCCTGAATGCAGACCCAGGAGTAACCCCTGCGCATTGATGGGTGGGTGGCCCAAGAACAAACAAACAAACAAACAAAGACGAACTATAAAACCAAATGGGATAGCCAAGGAAATGAATGTATATCACAAGAAACATTTTCCAAAGGCATTTCTTTAGGACAGTACATTGTAAAGATAGGGAGCTGTAGAAAGATGCCGAGGAGGGAAGAGAAGGGATGATTAGTAAGGGAGGAAAGCAATCATCATGTAGATAAAAAAAAAAGCCAGGTGAAGAAAGTGTTTTAAGGAAAAGGGAGCAATGACTGTCCTAAATGTGGCAGATAGGCCGGGTGTGACAGGTCTGAGAAGAGCTCATTGAGTTGGGCACATGACAGTCACTGGTGAACTTGATGGTTTAGGCAGTCACTGGGAACAAAAACAATTGAATTAAGTTGCAGAGACATGAGAGGCAAGAAGTTGGGAAGCAAGTCAAAGTCATATTTTCAAAACCTCTGAGAGTGGGGTCAGGAATCGCCAGCAGTGCTTAGGCATCAGGGCTTAGCCATACTGGGTCAGAGAATTTGGGTCTGATGGTTCAGTGATTGGGGTGGAAGGATGGGCCATAGGGTGCTCCAGGCTCAGTAGATTCAAACGTGGGGTCTTTGCATGCAGAGCATGTACTTCAGTCCTTTGGACTAGCTCCCCAGTTCCCTTTTAAGAAATTTTGATGCCAAATGAAATAGAAATAGTAGCCTGAGGTAGAAGTAGGATTGAGAGAGAAATTGCTTTTAATACAAGAAAAATAATGGCATGTTAGCATGCTGAGGGGAATGATCCCAAAGGCAGGCCTGAGTTGCTGGAATAATGACCTTGAGTGAATAATGATGAGATCCAGTGACCTTAAACATAAACTTTATGTAATTTTTCTTTATTCTATTAGATCTTGTTTTATTTATTTTGGGGGCCTACCAATTGGTGCTCAGAGATTCCCATCCATCAGGGCTGGCAATGCAATGCAAGGATCTGAGGTTGTGGTGCTGCTCAGGCCCCACAGTTGAGGATTACCCGGGCCACCCCAGAGATGCTGAAGGGACCATATGTTATGCCAGAGATCAAATCAAAGGCCACAGCATACAAGGCAAGTGCCTTAATCCCAGTACTATCGCCATCTCTTCCACCCTGTCATTTTTTCCTTTTTGTGGGGGTAAATGAGGGGTGAGTACTGCATGTTTGAGGGACATTTGGTGCCAGTGATCAAACCATTAAGCATGAACTTGGACAGTTAGTCCTTAGCAAGTGAAGAAGGCAGAAAGCTGGAAGTGCAGTTGCTGGCAAGTGGTGAGAGCTTGTGAACATTGTCTCATGATTCTTCCAATGACCTAGAAAGCAAAGTCAACAAGGAGACTAGGGGAAAGGGGAGAGGATTGGGATTGCATAAAATACTTTACTCTTTGTGTATGTTAGCATCTGTAGCTTGTGGGACATTGTGACAAAGCCTGAATCTGTCTAGATGAGCTATTGAGCTATTCAAGGTAGGTATAAACTAAAGGCACAGTAACAGTTCAATTCTTCTCATGAATGGCTGTTAGGGGAAGTTTCTCTAAGCAGATAAAAGGGCAGCTCAGGGCTGGAGCAATAGCACAGCGGGTGGGGTGTTTGCCTTGCACAAGGCTGACCCGGGTTGGATTCCCAGCATCCCATATGGTCCCCTGAGCACCGCCAGGAGTAATTCCTGAGTGCAGAGCCAGGAGTAACGCTATGCATCACCGGATGTGCCCCCCCCCAAAAAAAAAGCAAAAAAGAAAGGGCAGCTCTAGGCTTGGTGCAGTGCAAGGCTTCCTAAAGCACATACTGGCTGGCCAGCAGCCTTCATAATGATCTCGGAGAAAATCATTCCCATGAGTCTTTAGAACTTTATATCACAGAGTAGCCGGGGAGATGCCTCAAATGGCTAGAACACATGTTCGGCAACTGGGGGGCCTGGATTCCCTCCCCAGCACCTCATGGTCCCTTGAGTGACCACTGAGTTATGTGCTCAGAATAGTCACTGATCACTTTTGAATGTTGCTCAGAAAACAAAAACAGATGAAACACAGAACATCCTGAGTAGAAGGCCTACTTAGAACCAGCTAATCCTTTTTTATTTTGTTTTGTTTTATATGACTGCACCCCCGGTAGGTGGTGCTCAGGCCAGGCTCTGAACTAAGGGTTTACTCCAGGTGGGGTACCCAGGATCAAAACCGGGTGTGCCACATGCAGGGCAAGGCCCTTACCCACTGTATTATCTCTCTGGCCCCATAAAAGCAGCCAATAATTTAACTGGGTTTTATTTTCAAATTGCTTGCTAACCATGAAAGTCCATTGAAACGAAGTCAGTCACATCAAAATAGGATGTAGTTTTTGGCTCAAATCTGGTGGCAGAGAGATAAAAAAAATCATAGATATGTTTTACCAAAAACCTTACCCATTTTAGGATGAGGAGGAAGGCAAACAAACATAAGAGAACAAAGGGATGGTAGGAAACATCTCCACACTTGTCTATAGGGTTGCGACCGTCCCTCAAAATATCAGCTACACTGTCATTTTTACACCTTAGTTTGCACCTAGGTTTTCTCATTTCAAGAAATAAACAATTGTTAAGAGACTCTGCTGACCTCTGTATTTATTTCATAGGTTTGGTTTGAAATGTGTAGCAAATCACATTTTAACATTTCAGAATACTTTAATGAGCCCAGAAGAAAAGAAGGAACTATTGACATCCTGGAAAAGTTCTTTTGAAAGTGCAAAATTACAGTGTATTTAAAATTTAATTTCTATTAAAAATTAGCCTCACTTTAATTTCAGTCTAATTGTTTCCAGCTCTAAGTTCCTTTGATTCTCATTTATCATAATTATCATAAGGGTGCAATAAGATGAGGAATTGGTTGCTTTCCTGTGTAAAAAATATTTATGGCTATGTATATATGATCTGTGCTTGCATAAATAAACAAAGCACCTTGCTCAAAAAGTAGTAAAAATTTCAAGACAGAATATAACATCAAACACAGGTGGGTACATGTGAGCTGGAGACCCTTTTTAAACTGTATAGGTCACATGTTTACAAAATTGGTGCAGGCCAAGAGTTGTCCCTAATTTTTGAAAGATGGCCTTGGTGATTGCTTTGTAATTTTCTGTCCTAAATGGCATGGCCAGAAGAGATTCTGAAGGGAAGTGTCTGACACAGCGTCAGGGCCTGGCGTGGGGTGGGGGTGGCGGGAGAGATACCGATACCGATATTATCAGTGGTAGAAAATGTACACTGGTGGATGAATGAGTGTTTGATCATTGTGTGACTGAAACTCAATCATAAAAGTTTTGTAACTGTATTGCACAGAGATTCAATAAAAATAAAAGAGAAGAGATTTTGAGAAAGAGCACAAAGAGGAAAGGGAGTGAGAATTTGGCATAAATGATCCCGCAAACTCCTTCCCTGCTCACCAAAGCAATTCGAGGCTGTTGGGATCTCTTGCACAGCTTTTCCTGATAGATATTTGGAGGCTTCTAGACCTCTGGGAAAGGGAGTGGGGAGGTTGTTCTTGGAGCCTGCTTTGACCTCTGTGCCAATGTAAGGGGCGAGTGTGGTGGGCTCTGGACTCTGCAGCCCTCGAAACTCAGTGTGCTCAAATTACTCTAAAGAGAAGCAAAGGGAAACTCATTTGCTCTCTGCACAGCTGGCTGAGAGCCCCAGGATGTCACACTGTGACACTGCTCAGAACCAGAGGACAGGGTGATCATCAGATCAGCTGCAAAGTGAAATTCCTCAGCTAAGCTGGCAAG